TTATTGCAATAATATTTGTGCGACTCTTGCTAATAATACTACAACCTTTACATTTTCTCGATTTTAAAAATAAGGGAAATTTTCGATTGTACTTTACTTATTATGTCTGAATCTGAATTGTATTTCCTTCCTTTTTGTAGCTTTTATTGCATTTTTTCACTTTCCAGTTTCCATTATGTTCAATAGTTAAAAGATATTTTCGTTCAAACAGTGTCAGAAGAATTTCCAATCCAATATGAATTGGTTTGGTGAGGTTACAGTTTCGTTTTAGTCTAAAATCTGTGAAATGAAATCTCCCTATGATCTGAAGCAAAACACCGTCTTGTTTAAAGGTGATAGTACTTATGATACAAAAATTGCAAAAAAAGAAGAGTAGACATTCGAATTACGATAGAGATTCACAACCACTGTAACCAGAAATTTTAACATTACTAAACAGACATGTGATCTAGATTCCGCAAATGTTCTTTTCCATCACAACACACAAATCCTAGAGATCAACAAAGATCACCCTCAAAAAGCTTACTTTCTTTTCGACTTCTTCGATGATCTCCGGCTTTCAACTTTTCTCTGTGCAGCTTCGAATTCTTCTTCGTTTGGCTCTGACTCGCCATTGTCACCATACCTAGAGACAAGTGACGAGAACATTGTATCGAACTTCTCTTTCCTCGAATCGCTTCGCTGCAAAATTGCAGCGTAAAGATCTTTCTTTGCAACCTTTGCTGCTCTACAAGTATGGAAATTTTGAAACAAGTCACAACAAAGGTAACTTTCAGAGAGAACTAATTGGAGAAAGGTAGACATAGAGAAAGCTTACTTCTGTCTCATCTGCGTGTCATTCGTGGGAGGCTCTATTTCTGAAATTTCTTTTGCCCATTTCTTGTAAGCTTTCGTTGATTTCACTTCTCCTGCAATGGTTTCATAGCGGAAAAACAAAATCAGAACTTGAATGCGTTTTGTACACAGAATTACTGCAAGAGAGAAAAGCCTACCTGCTGCAATGGCCTGGTCGATAATATCTTTGAAGCGGTGTGAATCAAGCTTAGTGTTTGAACAAAGCATTGAGCAGAAAAGCCTGGAAGAGATATAGTACCAATAAATGTTATATAAACTTCAATTCACAAACTTAACAACAATGAAAACAAGGGGATGATAATTACCTGCTCATTTTACCCTTAAACTTCGTGTACAGTTCAATCAAGTCTTTCTTCTCGGATTCAGAACCTCTGTAGTTTGCCTCAAACTCTTCAATATCCTCCTCGGTGACCTATGTAACACAAGTGTCACAAGAATCAGCAAGTGAAGGAAACAGACCAAACAGTTGTGTGCAAAGTCCAAAAGATAAATCAACTGTGAATGGTGTTTGTTATACCTTCTTGTACATGGCCTTGAAGAAGTCCCTCAAGTTGTCAACCACATCTCCCGAAAGATCCTAATGAGATCGGGAAAAAACAGATTGTAAGAACATTTTTCAGTCACCAATTCATTCGAACAGAAACTTGAATAAGTACAAGATACTGATACTTATTCCAGTTTACAAGCATGGTATAAAACTTGTGAAACTAAAATCATGCAAATAAGAAAATTGAAGAACCCCAACTTACAGCATCATCAACTGAACCAGTCTGATCATAGACTGCCCTTTTCTCTTTATCACCGAGAATCGATATCACCTTTTGCAGCTGCTGAAACTTCTCTTTAGCTTCCTATACACACACCCAAAAAGAAAACAAGAATTCCAGTTTCCTTGAGAACTAAATTGGACACATAGAAACTATAAAAGGAATACAAAAACCCGAAAGAGAAGGTGTTCAATAACCTCATCGTCTTTATTTTTATCAGGATGAAGCCTCAATGCCAACTTATGGTATGCTTTCCTTATCTCTTGTGGAGATGCTGTTGCTTCAACACCAAGAACCTTCAATGAAGACAAATTAGTACGTTTCATTGAATCATTCTAATCACATACAATCAATCACAAACAAAACTCAAGACAAGAATTGCAACAGCTACTGTGGAAAAAGCAAAAATTGGATCATAAACAAGTACATTTCTAGCTCTTACAATCCTAATAACCAACGATGAAATTCAGACACTATCAAAGGAACACCATCAGGCAAAACAGTCCAAACTAAACCCGAAACCCAACCATAAAGTATAAGAAAGTCTGCTATTCCGGCTACGATTCAAATAAGCTTAATCGGAACAAGACCATATCCAGAAAACGAAACCACTAATAATTGCAGAGAAAATAGAGGTACCTCGTAGAGATTTTTCTCACTAGATCTCCCTTCATTCTCCATTTCAACGTTCTCGATTTTACGAACACACTAGTGAAAAGCGATCGAGTTAGAAATGCTTCTTATTGGAAGATTTATGGCGCCAATTATTCCCCCACATTTTTTATTTGCCGCCTAATTTTAGAGAAGGTGTTTTTTTACATTCTTATCGTCTTAACCTAATCTGGGGAAGTAAATGTATACGCTATTTATATAAAGTTTATGGAACTTGAGGGGTGGTGTCTTAATAATATATAGTACTGTGGTTAAAACCAAAATCTAACCGAAATTGGTTTGGTGTGACAACAAAAAACCGAGATTGATTTGGTATTGATTACGAATCAAAATCTTTTACAAAATATATTTCAATCTTTTCCAAACAACTTCTCATTTTCGGCATGTGATATTGTTGTCACTTCTCATTGTATTTTCGTTAATTCGTTCGAATTACGCCGGGTATGCATTTCCGATTCAGACCGCCGGTTAGGTGATTGTACGGTGACAAAGGCAATAAGTAAAATAAACGGCCGAGATCAATTCAGTTTCAGGGAAAAGTTTGTGATCCATGCCACAGTGGAATAACTCCTATAGTACTGGGTCCCGCATTGGCCGTTAATCCTCCCTGTTTTTCTCTTTCTCCATTTCTCTGAATATTTCCCTTTCTCTGCGTATCAATGCCTAACCACCCGCTTGTGATCTGAGTTTTCTTATTCGTTTTCATGGTAGAATCGGCTGTTTATGCGTGCAATACGAATCCGAGACTCTTCGCTTGGATCTGATTTGAGATTTTTGAATAACTCGTGATCTGGAAATTTCTGTTTTTTTTTTTTTTGAATAAAGTCAAACGAACCAAGGATGTCTAATTTGTATGGAGATTACAATCAAAAGATCGATTACGTCTTCAAAGTCGTGTTGATCGGTGATTCCGCGGTTGGGAAAACTCAGCTGCTTGCTCGGTTCGCTAGGAACGAGTTTAGCGTCGATTCTAAAGCAACAATTGGTGTCGAATTCCAGACTAAAACGCTCGTCATCGATAATAAAACCGTCAAAGCTCAGATTTGGGATACGGCTGGTCAAGAAAGGTTTGGTTATCTTCTTCCATTGATTCATTTGATGAAATATCAGAAACATTCAAACTCTTGCATTTGATTGATAATGTTTTAGCAAACATGTCTTCTGGATTTTTGTCTCCCAAAGTCTTAATGCAAATGGTTAAATCAATATTGTGATTCTGTGACTGAGAAAAGACAATAGTATTTGTGAGTTGTAAGAACAGATATTGAGAATCCAGAATTAGAGAGTTAGAGGGCTTTATATTCGTTTTGCTACTCTGTTCACATTAGAATCCACAAGTGTTAATCAAATTCTACTTGCTTTGGTCATATTTGTTAAAGGATCCAAATTTCTCTTTTACTTTAGTCTGAATTTTGATGGCGAAGGATGGTATTTAGCTTCTACTCTTATATGTCATGTTAGATGCTACATAGCTTTTATATGAGGTTTGATAAACAATGTCTTGTATGCTAGATATTGACCATCACTCTGTTTAAGGCTCTCAGTCATATACATATATCAAACTTTTAATTTTCTTCTTTTTCAGATACCGGGCGGTGACAAGCGCGTATTACCGTGGAGCGGTTGGGGCAATGTTGGTCTATGACATGACCAAACGTCAATCATTTGATCACATGGCGAAATGGCTGGAAGAATTAAGAGGACATGCAGACAAAAACATAGTGATTATGCTAATTGGAAACAAATGTGATCTTGGAAGCCTAAGAGCAGTGCCAACAGAAGACGCACAAGAGTTTGCGCAAAGAGAAAACTTGTTCTTCATGGAAACCTCCGCCCTTGAAGCTACTAATGTTGAAACCGCGTTTTTGACGATCTTAACAGAGATTTATCGTATAATCAGCAAGAAATCATTAACAGCTGATGATGATGATGCAGATGGGAATTCAAGTCTCTTAAAGGGAACTAGAATTATCATCCCGAGTGAGCAGGAGAGTGGGAAAAGAGGTGGATGTTGTGGAAAATCTTGATTTTTATAGCAAAAGAAGAAAAAAGATTGTAGTTTTGTTTGGTTCTTGTTGTTCTTTTTTTTTTTGTTCCAATTTATAATTCTTGTATTCACGTTAGGCCATTTGTTCTCGAAGCGAAACAATAAGCCAAGATTTACTAGAGGAAGAGTATGACAACAAAAACTGCTGCTGTTTTTATATGATGGAAGTCTTCCATTAAATTGTTCAGTTGAGTAATGATGGATGAGCTTTTGCTAAGTGACACTATATGCTTATGTTTTTCATTGTCTCTTGAGCCTTGAGTTTCAGAACCTTTTTTGTGTAATTACTCTTCTTAAGTATAACCTAATAACATTATATCACCACTTTGTTTGCTTGATCAGATAGCCTTTTCCCTATGTCAAGTGTTGTCGTGTCCAGTTGGTTAGTTTTTCTGAAAATTTTCAAAATATTATGCATCTTTGGGATTTAAGTTGCATATAGATGGATGTATGAGTGGTATGTTGGATTTATTAGAAGTCTGATTTATCAGCTCATATGTTCAGAAAAGTCTTAAATAGAGAAAAACACTTAATGCTTGGAACTGAGATGGAATTTGGTTTGGTTTGGATAGGTAACCCGATTAGATCACGGTTGACTTTGTACTTTCTTTGATTCATTAAAAATGTACTTTCATATTCTCTTCTCAAATAATGTATCGACATTTACGTTATCTCTTTTGTTTCTTCTATCGCCATCTTTTTCGACCTAAAATTCATTCTTTTTTTTTGTCGATTGTGCAGCGATTGTACATATCTGACTGGCTCTACTCAAGATAGCTATGGTCTTCTTGACTTTGTTCATGACTCTCCTAATCTCGTAGTGAAATTTTATTAATGAATACAGCAAAATTAGACCATTTATTCTCTAATCGATTTCTTTTGAGTTAATGTATCCGCATTTTCATGCATCTCTCTTTTCTTCCATCTTCTGCATTTGTGCTCAGCTTCTCAAGTGTTTCGAGGCTTCAAACCGGCATCTCACGGTCGTACCGATCCGAGGTCACGGGTGACTCGGGTCAAGCCTCTAGGAAAGGCTTTACTCTTTGGAATTTTGAGTTAACGAAGATCTTTACTGCTTTTAGTCTATCTCCACTTTCGTTTGGTAGTTACTAAAGCTACTCGAACAAGAAATTTTGGAGTTGTATCTACTGTCTTTGAGCAAATTTGTCAGGATTACGAGCACATTTTTGAGCCTTCTTATGTAAGAAGATGAAGGTTAGGCTCACTGATCTTGAAACGACAGCGAAGAAGGCTGAGGATAATAAACTTGAGGTGAATAAGCTTAAGGAGAAGGTTAATGATAGGTTATCTCTTCTGGAGGAGAAGATGAAGAGAGAAGAATAGGAGAATATGAAGAAAGAAAAAGAGGAGAGAAACGCTCCTGGTTCAGTTCCACTTGATTCCTCTAATTCCACTTGATTCCTCTGTAAAAGGCTTAATTCTGTAAAAGTCCTCTAATTCCACTTGATTCCTCTGTAAAAGGCTTAGTTCTCTGTGAAAGACGTAGTTCTCTGTTAAATGCATTTAAACTAGTTACCTCTAAGAACTCGGTTAAAAGGCTTTGTTCTCTGTTAAATGTATTTTATTATTATCTCTAAAACTTAATATTTCAGCATGTCACAGTATAATTTATAATATGAACTGTATTTATACATCAAACTTCAATAAGGGTTTGTTCGTATGGTTGTTGAATGTCACAATGCATTATCATCATATAAAGTATTGACAATATGAAACAAATAATAAGCTCCTGTATGAACTTATCCATATTTGCCCTATTACTTTGTAGATCAAGTAGTAAGCGACAGAGGAATCACCCGATTGAGGGCTTACGCGGCTACTCTTTATGTGCTCTTCATATACACATGTATGTACAAACATCTACTATGTTATTATAGACATACGAAAGAGAACAAATTTTTTTGATAGCTTTAACGTAAGAGTTGGATGATATATATCTCAAGTACGTTTGAGGGATAAAAGACTAGAATCTTTTTTCTTTGCATCTAAATCTTCATTCATTGAAATATGAGGACCAAATACAAGAGTGGAATGCCTTGTTGATACACCATGCCGGCAAGACCTCTTCTTCCAAAAAAAAAATATCTTAAAAATATGAAACGTGCCAAAGCAAATACTAAATATTTCAAAGCAAATACTAAACAAAGGCCTTAAGCTATTGCTGTAAAAGAAATATGAAGAAGAATTCACCAAAAAAAAAGGAAATATGAAGAAGACCCAAGGAAAAGAGACTCCAGTCTTAATGCTGGACAAGGTTATGCCTCGAAGACAATCCCTTCCACATCAAGCGATCGAAGCCAGAGCTCACCTACCCAAACTATTATAAAAATATGAATACAGTTTATTATACAATTTAAGACACAAGACTATCATATTATATATGACATGTTCAAAGTATTACAAATATATGAAAAAAACCAGCGCATATAATATATAGAAAAAACCCGCGCGTATGCGCGGGTAATCATCTAGTTAGTTATAATAACCAATCGTTTAAAAATTTGACAACGTGTTGTTATTGTTTGATATTAAGAGAAAATTGAAGCTGAGGAAAGTTCAAGTTCTGGAATTAATTCTGGAATTAAATATTCATACGCGCAGGTTTGTTTTATACTGTAATTTTTTTTGTAAGTTAATATATTAAAATTTATGTATTTATGTATGATTTATATACATAAGTAATTTGCTTATTAAAAATATCATATTTATTTTATACGAGATGATATTTTTTGTTTTTTTTACCATATTTACAGTTTTTATCCTTCAAAAAAATTTCACTCTTTAAAAATGTATTGAGTGCATATTTGACAAAACCATTAAATTTTATTTGGATCCATTTTTATTTTAGAGCCCATTTGCCATTTGCATAATCCATCAATTGTTATATCACTTTATTTTCTTTTCTTTTTTGAGAAAACAATATTGATTCTTGCGTAAACAATTATGAAAAACTATCAATACCATACTGGATAGTTATACGGTTTAAAGAGTGAGTATTCAACAATTAATGGTTTATGTTACAAAAAACCTTTAAAAGAGGATGAGCAAAATTTGGTTCATATATTTGCTAACATCCGCTACTAGTCTTTTTCTTGATCATACATATACATACTATTTGTAATTTTGGAAGATAAGTGTTAATAGTCGATTTTTTCCCACTGGGTGTCACAGCAAATGGTTGGACCAATTTTTATATTTGTTCTTCCATCTGCAAATAAACTGTCTATTAGAAGTATACTCGAAAATATTGATGAAGACCATACAATTATTCCTTTTAGAAAGTTGCAAGTTCATACTTGGTTTGCTATGATCTAGGCAGCTGTTCAAAGACCACCACTCGTGCCACTTATTGCTTCAGCCGCCAAACCATATTGCCGATTAAACAACAACACAAAGGGCAAGTAAATTTACTGTCTAAAACCAACAATACAAATTGGGGGAAAAACAAACCAGTAAAAGAAAGAATTTTAAATCGCCAGCAAACAATTATCCAATATTCTCGAACTTGAACATTACTTATAGTTTTTATTAGCTTATGCTTAGGAAAGTCATTCCTTTACCATTGGGGCTAATACATATAAGGACGGAGCATATAAGTTTACTTACTTTCTTCACAATAATGTTTCAAGCACAACAAAATCATCTCCTATGAGTTCTTAAACCAATATTTGTAGCTCTTATAATTACATTTATTGAACAGTAAACAACGACAAGTTACGTTGTAGTTGCAAGTATAAGTCCAGAAGGGAAAAAATAAGGAGAGTCCACAACCTTAGCATGATACACAATCTTTAATATTTTCGGTTTTTTCCTCCATGCTTCTCAAGTCCAAAAAGCAATCAGTCCCATATGTGAAGCTTGTCGTCGCCATGACATGAGGATTTTGTGGGTTGAATCTATAGAGTTGATCCTTTGTTCATATAAATCCCGATGGAAAGATGACTTTGCTGCTCGAAACTCCTATACATTGAACATTCCTTTTCCCTCGCCTAAGTATGCATAGTTCTGGAATTAATCCCACAAGAGTTTGCGCAAAGAGAAAACTTGTTCTTCATGGAAACCTCCGCCCTTGAAGCTACTAATGTGGAAACCGCGTTTTTGACGATCTTAACAGAGATTTATCGTATAATCATCAAGAAATCATTAACAGCTGATGATGATGCAGATGGGAATTCAAGTCTCTTAAAGGGAACTAGAATTATCATCCTGAGTGAGCAGGAGAGTGGGAAAAGGGGTGGATGTTGCGGAAAATCTTGATTCTGATAGAAAACGAAAGAAAAAACATTGTATTTTGTTTGGCTCTTGTTGAGTTTTTTTGTTACACTTTATAATTCTTGTTTTCACGGTAGGCCATTTTGTTCTTGAAAGGAAATAAGTCAAGATTTTGCTAGACAAAGAGTATGATTGCGAAACCAAAAGTCCCATGTTTGCCACACCACAATTATCTAGGAAAGACAGAGATTGTGATCTAGTGTTTTGTCGTCAACATCATGTATTATTGTGAATTTGAATTTGGATGATAATACAGTGATGGTTCTACTCCTAATACATGCCTAGTTTGCCAATTTTAGCACATATATAACTTTATGTGATACTGTGATTTTAAATAATTATTCTATGGCCCAAAATACACTACCTGTTTAGGTGGTGCACACATTTCGTTTTAGCATTTTTGTGGCTATTATTATGCTCTCGATGACTATTGACAAATTAACAATAACGGTAGTTAATTAATTCAAAACACTATAATTAACACTTAAGTGAATAATAAGTTGAGTTAAATGAAAAATAAGTAGGCCTAGTCAAGGTCCACTCCTACCTAAATTTTTTCGATATTGTTGAATGAAAAACACTAGTTATGAATAGATATTATCCTCGCTTAGCAGCAGAAGTATCGAAACTTACGTTTATATCTTTTGTTTCTTCCATTGCCATCTTTTCTCAACCTAAAAACCACTTTTTGTTTTGTTTTGTCGATTGTGCAGCGATTATGCAACTGATATAATATAATGGTATTAATTAGATCAACGGTCGCGAAGGCTGCCTATTTCGATTGTGTAACCAAATGCAACTGATATAATATAATTTCTTCATCCAAGATTGGATTTGGGTTCTACGCTGTTTGGCGTAATGTCACGATTATCCCTGCTATACTTTTTGTTTCTTTCTATACTTTAAACAAAGAGAATAAAA